CTCTGGAGCAGGAGCTCTCGCTGTGGCTCGGAACCACACCCCACATGCCAAGCAGACATCTTGCCAGGACCCCTCCCCAACCCTGCCCGCATCTGCCCCCAGCAGGCACCAGGTGGGCGCTCAGATTAAGTCTCCAGCTCATCAGCCTTGAGGAACATATTGGGGCTTTTATGGAAAATCACCTCGTTGTGCGAAGTGCAGGAAAACGATCGTTTTTTTAAAGGAGCGTGTTGGGTTCCTACCCAGTGAAAGGAAGGGGAGGTTCTCGGGGCCGTGGGCTCGACTCGGGGGTTTCTGGCTACACTGAAACTTTTCCCAACACCAGGAAATGCCCCGGACAGGCCAGGGCAGGCTATCCCATGTTCTACACCACCCGTGAAGCCATCAGCAGGTCTTGTTGCCACTGTAATCCCCCGGGGAGACAGCCCAGGGCCGGAGGATGGAGCGTCTCAGCCAGGCGGGGTCAGGGTGGTATGGAAGCCTGCAACTGTGTGTGGGCTGCAGCTGGGACACTCCCAAGCAGGATGCTGTCCTCACCCAGGACCGGCCACTCCTCTAAGCTCTGCTGCACTGGGCCTCAGCGTCTGGAGGCGTTCAATGGATCTGGAAAAAGGCCCGTGTCTAGGGCCAGCAGGTGGCATGGGGCTTAAGGCGCTGGATCCCACATGGCCAATTTTCAAGTCCCGGACCCTGCAGCTTAAAAATTCTACCAGGTGTGCCCAAAATCTCAAGAGAAGAATGGAGGAGAAGGGACTGCAGTGTGGCCATCGCCACTGGGGGTGACTCTCACTTTCCCTCTCTCTGTCTCTCTCCAGCACCCATAGCAAAAGTTATTTTTAAAAGAATAAAAGATCCGAGTCTAGTATTTGGTGTATGAGCAAATAAAACAGCCAATCCTCATGGTCAGAATTCCACTCCTGCCTGCGTGTGAGAGCACACGGGTGAGAACAGGTCAGAATGGCTGAAGTGCAAGCTCCGCACTGACAGGCAGTCGTGGGCCGGGCAGGCAGTGGCATGGCTGCTGGACACCGCAAACACAGCAAGCCCACACGCTTCTCTCCTTAGGCCGTGCCTGTGCCGGGCCTCGTGTGCCTGAAACAGCAAACCCTGCAGTGGGGAGGGGCTGGCCATGTCGGCTACACCCTGAAGGCTATGAGCAAGGAGTGGGTGCTGGGCTTCCGTGTGACGCTTCCTCCTAACATCCCAGATGAGCTCGAAATATCCTCTCATATGTGCTTAGTTTTTAATTCTAGAACAACCTACCCTGTACCTAACACAGAAATAATTTGATTCGGGGGGGATGTCTATGTCCTCAGAGACCCCAGTGCAACAGCAGCCCCCCCTGGGTTCACCGCCACCACCTGGGTCTGCCCCAACAGCCCTGATCCTGAGCAAACAGCTCCTGCAAGAGGCCGCTGGGTACCCCCACGCACCGGCACAATCACCCTGGGACCCCAGGCTACGGGCTCACGGTCTCCCCCACAGAGGACATCAGGGTGCAGCCCGGCCCGCAGGTGAAGCCCCCCACGATGCCGCTCGGCTTGGCCGTGACTCCCGGGCAGGCTTTCGTCATCACCCCCAGCCTCTGGTTCTCACCCTGCTACCCGGTGTCCCTCTGGGGAGTCCCTGAGGCCCATCAGGGAAGGGCAGCTCTTGTGCTTGTCCCCACTTGATCTGGAGCCCGATTCCCTGACTCTGGCCTGGGGGTCAGCACCAGCAGTGCCTGGTTCTCATCTGGGGTGGCCCCCACTCTCCCTGCGCCTGTCCCCATCCAGGTGCACTGTGGGGCTCCCTGAGCCTGCGCGTTGCGATCCGAGCAGAACTAAGCAAATGTTGAAATCCCCTGGCCAGTCCTTCCAGATGCCCCACCGAGAAACGTGCACCCCCGGGCGGAGCGAGTCCACGCCGCGGCCCTGTCATGGCGAACAGTGCCAGCTCCTGCCTCAGCGGCAGGGCCCCCCAGCCTCGGCGCGTGGAGAGTGCATTTAGGTAGGCAATGATCTGTGAAAGGATTAATTTGCTGATCTTATTACCTAAATCGAAAGAGATTTTGCGGCCGTCAATAACATGCTTGCGAGATTTCCCTGGTGTGCGCTGAAGGCCCCCCTCCCGCACGCCCCTTTCAGCCGCTGCCAACAGGCAAGCCGACGGCACGACTAACGTCCACGGTGAAGACGCAGGCAGGGACGTCTGTGCAGGCTCCCGGAGCTGTGCGAGGCATGCTGGTGGCCATGGGGAGTGAAGGGCCACACCACTGCAACGCGGGGCTCACCTGATCCCTTTGTTCTGCGCGATGCTGTGCAGGGACAGTCTCGACACCGCAGAGATGACCTGGGAAGACAAAGAAGACCTCCTGTGATTCCACGAGAAACCGGAAGCCCTCCCAGGGCTGCAGCCCGGTGTTCCGCAGACACCGAGCACAGCGGACTCGGGGCTAGACACCTGTTGTGTTTACTGGGCAGAACACACCATTTTGCTGCACTAATATTTGTGCAGGGCCTCGGAGGAGAGCGGGTCGGCCTCCCTGCCACCTCCTGGCCCGGCCACTCACACTCCCTGAGCTACACTGTCACCAGAAGAGGGTCTGTTCTCAGCGGCCACTGCAGATCCTAACCGGGGTCAGGCCACGCTGCTCCCCGAAGTCACTAGGTGCTTAATAACAGCACACATTAACAGTAGGAGCTAACCACTTCAGACAGAGAGATGAAGCCCAGAGAGGTCAGGCACTTTCCCAAAGTCACGCAGCAGCTGGGACCCAGCGGTATGAACGCCTACGACTAGTGCTCGCTGGGCTCCTCCTTGTGCAGGAGGGACAGGTGCCAGGCTCTCGGGAGGGGCTGGGAAGGACAGAAAGAGCTCCAGGTCCACACCTGCATTCAGGAGCTTGCTGCTCTCGCTGTGGCTCGGAACCACACCCCACATGCCAAGCAGACATCTTGCCAGGACCCCTCCCCAACCCTGCCCGCATCTGCCCCCAGCAGGCACCAGGTGGGCGCTCAGATTAAGTCTCCAGCTCATCAGCCTTGAGGAACATATTGGGGCTTTTATGGAAAATCACCTCGTTGTGCGAAGTGCAGGAAAACGATCGTTTTTTTAAAGGAGCGTGTTGGGTTCCTACCCAGTGAAAGGAAGGGGAGGTTCTCGGGGCCGTGGGCTCGACTCGGGGGTTTCTGGCTACACTGAAACTTTTCCCAACACCAGGAAATGCCCCGGACAGGCCAGGGCAGGCTATCCCATGTTCTACACCACCCGTGAAGCCATCAGCAGGTCTTGTTGCCACTGTAATCCCCCGGGGAGACAGCCCAGGGCCGGAGGATGGAGCGTCTCAGCCAGGCGGGGTCAGGGTGGTATGGAAGCCTGCAACTGTGTGTGGGCTGCAGCTGGGACACTCCCAAGCAGGATGCTGTCCTCACCCAGGACCGGCCACTCCTCTAAGCTCTGCTGCACTGGGCCTCAGCGTCTGGAGGCGTTCAATGGATCTGGAAAAAGGCCCGTGTCTAGGGCCAGCAGGTGGCATGGGGCTTAAGGCGCTGGATCCCACATGGCCAATTTTCAAGTCCCGGACCCTGCAGCTTAAAAATTCTACCAGGTGTGCCCAAAATCTCAAGAGAAGAATGGAGGAGAAGGGACTGCAGTGTGGCCATCGCCACTGGGGGTGACTCTCACTTTCCCTCTCTCTGTCTCTCTCCAGCACCCATAGCAAAAGTTATTTTTAAAAGAATAAAAGATCCGAGTCTAGTATTTGGTGTATGAGCAAATAAAACAGCCAATCCTCATGGTCAGAATTCCACTCCTGCCTGCGTGTGAGAGCACACGGGTGAGAACAGGTCAGAATGGCTGAAGTGCAAGCTCCGCACTGACAGGCAGTCGTGGGCCGGGCAGGCAGTGGCATGGCTGCTGGACACCGCAAACACAGCAAGCCCACACGCTTCTCTCCTTAGGCCGTGCCTGTGCCGGGCCTCGTGTGCCTGAAACAGCAAACCCTGCAGTGGGGAGGGGCTGGCCATGTCGGCTACACCCTGAAGGCTATGAGCAAGGAGTGGGTGCTGGGCTTCCGTGTGACGCTTCCTCCTAACATCCCAGATGAGCTCGAAATATCCTCTCATATGTGCTTAGTTTTTAATTCTAGAACAACCTACCCTGTACCTAACACAGAAATAATTTGATTCGGGGGGGATGTCTATGTCCTCAGAGACCCCAGTGCAACAGCAGCCCCCCCTGGGTTCACCGCCACCACCTGGGTCTGCCCCAACAGCCCTGATCCTGAGCAAACAGCTCCTGCAAGAGGCCGCTGGGTACCCCCACGCACCGGCACAATCACCCTGGGACCCCAGGCTACGGGCTCCCGGAGCTGTGCGAGGCATGCTGGTGGCCATGGGGAGTGAAGGGCCACACCACTGCAACGCGGGGCTCACCTGATCCCTTTGTTCTGCGCGATGCTGTGCAGGGACAGTCTCGACACCGCAGAGATGACCTGGGAAGACAAAGAAGACCTCCTGTGATTCCACGAGAAACCGGAAGCCCTCCCAGGGCTGCAGCCCGGTGTTCCGCAGACACCGAGCACAGCGGACTCGGGGCTAGACACCTGTTGTGTTTACTGGGCAGAACACACCATTTTGCTGCACTAATATTTGTGCAGGGCCTCGGAGGAGAGCGGGTCGGCCTCCCTGCCACCTCCTGGCCCGGCCACTCACACTCCCTGAGCTACACTGTCACCAGAAGAGGGTCTGTTCTCAGCGGCCACTGCAGATCCTAACCGGGGTCAGGCCACGCTGCTCCCCGAAGTCACTAGGTGCTTAATAACAGCACACATTAACAGGAGGAGCTAACCACTTCAGACAGAGAGATGAAGCCCAGAGAGGTCAGGCACTTTCCCAAAGTCACGCAGCAGCTGGGACCCAGCGGTATGAACGCCTACGACTAGTGCTCGCTGGGCTCCTCCTTGTGCAGGAGGGACAGGTGCCAGGCTCTCGGGAGGGGCTGGGAAGGACAGAAAGAGCTCCAGGTCCACACCTGCATTCAGGAGCTTGCTGAGAGAATAAAGTGAAATAAAAACAGAAGTTCTATAACACTCAGTGAGGAGCAGGGACCACTCCTTCCTCCTCGTTCCCACCCCAGGCTGGCCCTGCCCATGATCAGGCCAGCCCCGGGCCAGTCCCCAAGCCAGTCCCCAGGCCAGTTTCGGGGAGCCAGATCCCACGTGGCTGAGAGAGCAGTTCATCACAGCCCAGAGCGTGTCATGCGTGCCCCAAATCCTGACAGTGGGGGACAGAGGGGATGGCGGCGTGACCTTGCCCCGTCGGGGCTTTCTCCCTCTCCCTCTGGCAGCATCAGAGCACATACACCCTATAACCCGCCTCCCCATAAAACGAGAGCTGAGCTAGTCAACAGATCTTCACGAGAGGCGGCAAGCGGGCCCGCGGCAGGGGGAGGGGCTGCACAGGACATGGGGGCTGAGGCGGGGAGACGTGGGGACTGAGCCAGGAACAGAGGACAGGACACCGGCTAGCAGAGCAGGGGCTCATGGATCGTTCCGCAGGATTAAGGGGCTCCTTCCCTGCCAGGCAGCGAGGCTGGGGAATGCCGTGTGTGTGTGTTCATCCGCACACGTGAGTCTCAGCATGTGTGGTTGTGTGCACGTCACATGTGCACGCATGTGCTCCAAGCCCGCGAGCGTGCACTGCCAGTGTACACATCTGTGTGTGCATCTGTGTGCCTGGGGTGGAGCGCACGGCCACTTGCCAAGTTTAGACACCCTCCACTGTCCCTCCGGGCTGCCCTGAGAACCAAGCCTGGAGGGTGTCGTACACGCTTCCTCCCGCAATGCCCTGCAACACCTTCCTGCACACCCCTGCTGGGCAGGAAGCCCAGGGCCGGCTGCTCCTCGGGTCCAGCCGGCACGGACTCCTCAGACTCCCTTTCAGGCTGTTCTGTCACCAGCAGCCTTTTTAGAAAGGGAGGGGACGGTGCCGTACAGAGGGTCCCTGTCTGGGCCTGGGGAGACAGCCGCTCCGTCCACAGGCCGACTGCGTCCCCCGGGGATGGTGACGCTCAGGGGCTGGGACCCACGGAAGAGCACGTCGGTGTGACGACAGGGCTCCTCTGTGTGGCCTCAGACAAGGCTCAGTGTGCCCTCCTGCCACCGGCACCCACGCTCCGCGCCGCGGGGGCCTTTCACGGGTCAGGAGCGACCTGGCTGCGGCTGCTGGTTCTGGCTTGGAAGTGCTCTGAATATTTAGGGGAACAAAACGTAAAGCAGTACTGCTCGCTGTCCTTAGAGTTATGTGACAGCATGCTATGAACGTGGAAGGGTTCGGCGGCCACGGGGCCCAGGCCACCCCTCTGGCAAGTCTCCTGCGGCTGACAGTGCTAATCAGCTGTGCTGCTCCCTGGGCGTGGACGCGGCTCAGGCCCGTCCCGGCATGAAAGCCAGTGCTGGGGCAGGCGAGGAGCCCGAGGCACGGCAGAAGGCAAGCAGCCAAGGCAGGGTAGGGTCCCCAAGGCCAGCTGCCCCCATGATAGAGCCGGCCGTGAGCTACACAAACAGCACTGCGCCCCAGCAGGGAAGCTGCCACCCCTGGTTGGTGAGGGCCCAGACAAGGTGCTCTTCAGACGGGGTTAAAGGTGAGCAGCTCACCGGGGCCTGGCGCTGTCATCCTGTCCCTCTGTCTGCCACGTGCTCCTGGCTGGGGACTGGGCAGGGAAGGCTTGGGGCCCACAGTTCAGGACCCTGCTCCAGTGACCCAAGACCCAGGGTAGAGGCTACGGGGAGCAGAGGACCCCTGAACTAGCCGCAGGGGCGGAGCAGGCCCCAGGGTCAGAGC